CCTGACCATTCAACAGTGCCATGGTTAAACTATTCCTGACCATTCAACAGTGCCATGGTTAAACTATTCCTGACCATTCAAGGATGCCATGGTTTAACTATTCCTGACCATTCAAGGATGCCATGGTTTAACTATTCCTGACCATTCAACAGTGCCATGGTTTAACTATTCCTGACCATTCAACAGTGCCATGGTTAAACTATTCCTGACCATTCAACAGTGCCATGGTTAAACTATTCCTGACCATTCAACAGTGCCATGGTTAAACTATTCTTGACCATTCAACAATGCCATGGTTAAACTATTCCTGACCATTCAACAGTGCCATGGTTAAACTATTCCTGACCATTCAAGGATGCCATGGTTAAACTATTCTTGACCATTCAAGGATGCCATGGTTAAACTATTCCTGACCATTATATACCCTTTGTGAAAATTTTCTGTTACTTTCAGTCACACTTTTTATTTTTTTTATAAGGAACATGTCTGTGTTGTAGAACTTTTCCACATTTGATCGGTATCTCCAGTTAACTTAGTTCCACATTTCTTGTTGCATCTTTAACCAAAATCTCATTCTTGATCTTCAGTTGTAGTAAACCTAATAGATCAATGATCACTCACACCCAGATGTTCCTCCATTTCAACCCTATCAACAATTTCTATATTAGAAGTTAACAATAAATTGTTCTTGGTAGGTTCCCTAACCAATTGTTGAAGAAAAACATCCTGAACAGTTTTTCAAAACCTCTTGATTTTACTCTCTAACATTTCCCAATCTAAATTCCTGAAATTAAAATCTTCCATAATTATAACCTCATTAACAGCTAAGTTATTCACCTCACTGGTGGTCTTATAACCACTAACAGAAATTCAAACTGATTCAATCTCATTGCTGTTAGTTTTGATATCCTCAACTTGAACAGGATGTAACTCCAAGTTTACGTATACAGCTGCTCTTCTCCATCTATCCCTATTAAATAAATTATAATCCTCTATTTCAAAGAAGTTTGTCATTAATATTGTCACAAAAGTAACGATATGGAGATACAGCTTCAAAGGTTGATGCTTTTGAGTAGAATGCGATCCAGTAAAATTTACTACGCTTTGGAATACTGAATCTTAATCACATTGGGAATGTACTCATTCCCACTATATGCAAAAGTAATGTGTATATGTGTGTGTGTGTGTATTTATCTATATATTTATTTAATAAATCTTTTGATTAGTTTCAAATTATGTTTTCATAACTTTACTAAATTTCATTGAGTATGAACTTTCAATATATAATTTTCTTGCACATTAAACAAATACAAGAACATGAAAGATTGTATGAAATCTATTAATTATGCTTATTGTTTTTCATAGGCCATGCCGTCCAACCTGTTCTTCCTCACTATCACTATCCCAGCCAGGAAGTTGCTATTACAACATCCCGAGCTCCACCCTCTCCAACAGGTGAAAATTCCAGTATTCCAGAATTAAAAACCTTTCAGCAATCTCCACCAAGAAATGACAGTTATTTTCATCTTGAAGCAAAATATCAGTTTGCGTCACCAAGTCAGCTTAAGTCACTGTGTCAACAAAATGTTACAGCACAGGTAACGAATAACTGTGACACTTTGTTGACACAGTATAGAAGCTGACTTGGTGAAAATAAGAAAATAATGTTTTTTACCTGTACCAAGTCAGCTTCTGTACTGTGTCAACAAAGTGTCACAGTACAAGTAAAAAACCATTGGACATCAGTCCGTTATATTTTTATTGAAGCTTAGGAAAAGAAACTCGTCTTCTAGAAATTTGCCATCTTCTCCATCTTAGCCGTACATTACAATAAAGAATATGAAATATATTGCTAGCTTTACTGTACAAAATGTTGAAGTAGAGATAAAAAAAATGTAAAAAGTCTACACTATGTTATTCAACTTCTTAATTAGCAACATGCAAAAAAAAAATATTAATCACATTCACTTTATAAAAAAAAAAAAATCTTTATAAAAAAAGAAAATAGTAATTTATAGATGATTAAGTCATTTGGTTATTTGATTTTGGTCGAAATTATTTGTTATTTTGAATGAAATGTTATATCGTTGCAGATTTTTGGATGTGTTGAATTTGTGAACAATTTTTACCTGTATGTTAAAGTTAACTTTAGCTTCTAGGGATTTTGGAACTATTATTATTTCGTGTCGTACGTTTCGATAAATGTACTTTCATCTCTTGCAGTTCCAGATGAGATCTACAAACAGAGGACATTCATTAGAAAGATTAGATGTGAATGATTCAGTAGGACACTACATCCAGTCCGATACGTGGTACGATACTGTGAGACGGCATGGATATGATACAGACAGTGAGCTGAGTGTTCATGCTGGCGAAAACTACACCTTGTACTGCAGTGAAGGTACACCAACTTTACACAGACCCAAAGGAACAGTAAAACCTCGTCCAGTTGCAAAAATTGTTGCAAAAACTAGGCAAGAGGAAGTAGAAGCCAGTGGGACAAAAGGTTATATAGACAGGGACTCTGAAGCAGCATTAAAAAGTATTGATCGAGATGGGTGGGCGAGTTTAGAGGGCTCTCCCCGGCATATACTACCCGGTAGAACTTCACAATTATATGGAACCTTGAAAGTAAAGAGAATTCCTCCCCCTCCCCCAATAAGGACCAATTCTGTGAGGTGTGAAACTCAGGGTGATGAAGACCTAGACTTGATGCAGGATAAGGCATTTGCCACGTGTGTACAGAGTTTAAGGTCTCGATTTGATCAGGCTACAAACAAACAAAATGAACTCTTGTTTCTGCCAACCACACATCAAGAACAATTATCACCCACCCTTTCAGAAGATTTTCCACCACCTCCTTCTCCTCTACCTTCTGTTCTAGAAAATTCCAGAAAGGAAACTGTTACTACTGGATTGTCCAAAACCTTAGGATCATGTCTTACTTCCAGTGCCAAAGACCCGGTGCAATCTGACGAGCTTGGTACAAACCCGATGTTCCGACAAAGAAGGAAGAACTCGGCAGACTCAAATTCCTCTACCTCCAGCACTGACTCAAATTCTTTTCCATTTGCTAATGACAATGCTGGCACTATTAAACAAAAAGTCAACAAACCAGACTCTAATAACTCAACATTACAAGGTAAGACAGAAACCTCCAAGCACTTATATATATATATATACATACACACACAGTTTACTTTTGATAGCTATATGCTATCTCAACATCAGGTTTTTTTAATATCTGCTGAAGTTGGAGTTATCACTGTTTATAAAGAACTAAGAGGTTAACTGTGTATGGTATTTGTTTTTATACATTATTTTCAAGTGAATTCTGATGTTCAAAACATCACATTAAAAGTAATATCTGTGTAATATATTTAGTTTTGTAATCCTAAAACTAGTTTCTAACATACTAAAAGAAGTAGTAAATATTTTATTCTATAACTAAGATGCCTATGAAATAATTGATAGAAAATTGAGGAAAGAGAAGACAGTTATATGTTTCACAAACATGTCATTCATTTGCACTCATGGTTTTGCCAGTAAAGGCATCATCACATAATATAAATGCTAGACTTTATCTAATAACGAACCTCAGCTGGACCAGTTGTGTAGTTTTTGGTAACAAAACGAGGTCTACGTGACCTGAAAAGTTGAAATAAATATAGGGATGTGTAGGGCTTGACCCGAGGTGTTATACGCTGTTAGTATAATAGGTATAATGGTTTTCTATATCTCTATAGTTAACTTCTCTCACTGCTCTGTCCATGTCTTCTGATGATTCTGGGAATACAACCAGTCTGTAGGTAGACGTGCTTCTCTCTAATGTTCTGTAACTGCTGTGTTGTAGCACTGATGGAAGTTCTCTGTAACTGCTGTCTTGTAGCACTGATGGAAGTTCTTCTCTGTAACTGCTGTTTTGTAGCACTGATGGAAGTTCTTCTCTGTAACTGCTGTTTTGTAGCACTGATGGAAGTTCTTCTCTGTAACTGCTGTTTCGTAGCACTGATGGAAGTTCTTCTCTGTAACTGCTGTCTCATCATGATTGCAGCCACACCTGTTGCAATGGTAGCATGTCGAGCATCTTGCTACCTTATACTAGCAAGTAATGCTTGAACCTAATGTTTCTGACATACTTTTTCTAAGATATGTACAGTCTCGACAGAAAATCTGCTAGTTCCTCATAATTAATGAATTTGGAAGTATCTCTACAGATATTGTATTATGATAACATCATGACCTCAGTCAAAGTTTAGTACAAATTTCTCCATAAAAACAATGTTCTCAAGTTCAGTTTTTGAGGTGTAGATAAATATCTTTGGATTTATTTTTGAAAAGAGAGTCGAGGAGATACCAGATTTGTACCTCCCAGAGGTGGAATACTGTAGGTGATCAGAGTTTTGTTGCGAAGTAACATATATATATATATAGTAGGCAAAATTCCTAAAATTCTTTAGCTAACTTAGGAATTAAATATCAGACTGTGGATTTCACAGCTGCATTTTTCTAAGTTATGACTAGTAATGGTAAAAATAGTCAGTTTCTCAACTACAACATACAAGGAATGAGTAACTAAAAGATGTTGATACAAATATTTTTATAAAGGAGCTAAATGCTAAGCATGTGTACCATGACACTTCCGGAGTCTGTGCTGTAATATAATTAGCTGGAATTTTTTTAGCCTTTTTTCCTGACACCATAATGGTTTTATTGTCAGTTCTTAAAAGATTACGTAAGTCAGTGTTTCACATCCTTTTTTTGCTTGACACCCCTACACATGGTCTACAATTTCCATGGCACTCCTATCATTTTATAGCCTAGTTAACCGTGGTGTAGCTGGGGTTGTGGGGGCTCATAAAAATAACAGTATTTTGCTAAAATCTCACAGTATCATATGCTGCAACACTCCAGTTGGAAAAGAAACCTAAACACTATTTTTTTCCAGCTAAGTTTTTTTTTAAGCATTCAAGACATGAAGCTTAGCGTGGCGGGTCCTTCATTTATTTATAGTTGTTTTTATACGCGTATTCGTGAAAGAAAGTGAGGTGTTCTTAGTATTCTTCAGAGGAACAACATGAAAATGGTGGTCATGTTTCTCATGGAAAAGATTATTTCACCACACCAATACAAATGTGACATGTCTTGTGCAACATGGGAAACTTTGTGGCAAAATGCATTTTTCATCACTGGCAAAAGTGTAATTTTCTTCCTTTTAAACCCTATTCTTTAATTGTAGCTAGTCATGTGGTTAGCTCCAGATGTTGTTAGTAGCTCCTCAATTGGTTTAGCAATATGTGGTGGTGCACATATGTGTTTACCATTGTAGCTAGTCATGTGGTTAGCTCCAGATGTTGTTAGTAGCTCCTCAATTGGTGGTGCACATATGTGTTTACTATTGTAGCTAGTCATGTGGTTAGCTCAAGGTGTTGTTAGTAGCTCCTCAATTGGTATAGCATTATGTGGTGGTGCACATATGTGTTTACTATTGTAGCTAGTCATGTGGTTAGCTCCAGATGTTGTTAGTAGCTCTTTAACTGGTGTAGCAATATGTGGTGGTGCATGTTTAACATTATAGCTAGTCATGTGGTTAACTCCAGGTATTGTTAGTAGCTCCTCAATTGGTGTAGCAATATGTGATGGTGCACATATGTGTTTATCATTATAGCTAGTCATGTGGTTAACTCCAGGTATTGTTAGTAGCTCCTCAATTGGTGTAGCAATATGTGATGGTGCATGTTTAACATTGTAGCTAGTCATGTGGTTAGCTCCAGGTGTTGTTAGTAGCTCCTCAATTGGTGTAGCAATATGTGGTGGTGCACATCCTTGCATAATCACGATGTCGTCGATCAAGTCACGTTCATGAAGATGTGGAGTAACTTGTTCTTTCATAAGACCTTGATAACATTCACCATTTTCAGAGCCTGTTTATGGCCCATTGGGACCACCTGCTTTGAAAAACAATGGTCTGATAATAAAGGAGGCAATAAACCCACACCAATCTGTCACTTTCAGTGAGCACACTTTTGCATATAGATTGCCAGTTGTCCAGGTGCAGCAGTTCTGCTTATTGCAAGCTCAGTGAAGTGTGCCTTGTCTGTCAACAAGCTCAGCAAAGTGTGAAGTGTGCCTTGTCTGTCAACAAGCTCAGCAAAGTGTGAAGTGTGCCTTGTCTGTCCACAAGCTCAGTAAAGTATGAAGTGTGCCTTGTCTGTCAACAAGCTCAGTAAAGTGTGAAGTGTGCCTTGTCTGTCCACAAGCTCAGTAAAGTGTGAAGTGTGCCTTGTCTGACCACAACACTTGGAGCAGAAAATCCAGTTCTAGTTCAACAAGGGTAACTAACCAAAGAGAACAGTCAAAACGAACCTTGTGGCCTGCAGTAATTTGATGTTGTGTGGGAATTGTGCACTGTGAATTGCTTAAGGCTGCAGGACCTGCCCTATGTGTAATTTCAGCTACTACAACTGTGGATGTTGAAAAACATCCACTTCTTATATAGTCACAAATGCTGCCAGTTTCTTCCAGTTGCTGCATTAAACATTGAACAGTTGTTAGAGGACATTGTGAAGAAAGTACTGGTTTCTAACTGTTAGTACAGTTTTACTAGTGCTGCTTCACCCAGTGGGGTCGCTCCTTGTACACGTGTAAATGGATCAACTTTTGCAATCACTACCTTTATAGAGGGCCAATATAAGTTCAGCACCATCTGGTGTTGACTTCTGGTTTCCAAGTGATACTCCTCTGAACACACGATAAACTAAATTACAACTTGTGGTCTGGTTTTTGAACCGGTGGCTGACTGTGTGTTTTTTCTATCTTTTTTTAAATGAAAATTACAAAACAAAAACAAAAGATGCTTTTGTTTTTGTTACAGTAAGTGTAGTATGTGAAAATCAAATATTTTATCCAGGGGTCACACACATGCAAAAAAAAAAACCTGCATATTTCGTGCAAAAAAAAATCAATTGTGCATGCTTTTTTAGTAAATTAAAAAATAGTTAATTATGTGTACAAAGTATCTGCTAAACCTAACTAAGCTTACATGATATCTTGACATAGATGAAAACATTTTAAGGAGCTATATTAATATCTAAAGGAATTCCTAGATCAGAGGTTTGTTATTAAGTCTTCTAAACTCGTCATTAGATTCCTTTGTTCATCTCTACAGGAGCTCCATCTTGTCATTCCCACAGGTTTGGACAAGATGGAGCTCCTGTAGAGATGAACAAAGGAATCTAATGAGGAGTTTAGAAGACTTAATAAACTTTCCACAGGTTTGTTAGTAAGTCTTCTAAACTCCTCATTAGATTCCTTTGTTCATCTCTGCAGGAGCTCCATCCTGTCACTTCTCACAAAACAATAAATTTCTGCTCAAACCACTCAACATGGATACAAGTAGTTTTATAATATGCCTTACCCAAATGTATTTAAATGTTGCCTATATTTATTTTCAAAGCTGTTCTTCATTAGTAACTGTTCAGACCACATGATCTGACATAAAAGGGGTAGGAATAACATCTCTGGTAACATAATCACTAACAAAGAAAAATTGCATGAGAAATACGACATGGATAATTATCTCTTCAAGGGATGTTAGTTTGTGTACTTCGGGATGGGTAGAAAAATTATAAACAAATCTATAAATGTTTATAGACAAATGAAAGTTGGATTCTTTTTTTCTTTGCAAATTGCACTAAATAATTTTGCAGTTCTACAAAATATCAATTTTAAAATATTTTGAGTTAAAAATTACCACTAAGCACGATAGTGCTTAATAAGTAGGGATGGGCCAAGAAAAATAACGGTTGCCACATATTATGTATCGCTCATCATAGTCTTAAATCTCTATTATAACAATCTAAGAGACTTTTATTAACACTTAACTTTGGTTTTTGAGGTTTTCAAAAGCTATTAAGACCTTCAGTTTAGCCAAAAAAATATCTCTAAAGTAGAGAACAGGTGAGTGCCAAATGTTCTGCTGGTTCTGGCATCAGAAGGACTAGTTCACCAATTCTTGAAGTTGTTGTGATGATTTACACACTAAAATGTTGCATTTTAACTTGGGAAGTACAGAAGCAGTATAGAGTTTCACTAACTTCAACACATGATGGAGTACAGAAGCAGTATAGAGTTTCACTAACTTCAACACATGATGGAGTACAGAAGCAGTATAGTTTCACTAACTTCAACACATGATGGCGTACAGAAGCAGTATAGAGTTTCACTAACTTCAGCACATGATGGAGTGCAGAAGCACTATATAGAGTTTTACTAACTTCAACACATGATGGAGTGCAGAAGCAGTATAGAGTTTCACTAACTTCAACACATGATGGAGTACAGAAGCAGTATAGAGTTTTACTAACTTCAACACATCATGGAGTACAGAAGCAGTATAGTTTTACTAACTTCAACACATGATGGCGTACAGAAGCAGTATAGAGTTTCACTAACTTCAGCACATGATGGAGTACAGAAGCACTATAGGGTTTCACTAACTTCAGCACATGATGG